TACAGAACTCAGAGGACAGTAGCCCAATTCTATCATTATTTTAGAAAACCACTATTTTTACGTAGCGATATGAAAATATTTATCACTTTGTTGTAATATTTAATATTTGAAATGGTTTAAGCAGCAGATGTGTGATTCTCTGTGCAGCCACTTTCCAGTGTCAATAAAGTTTTAAACAAGGTTAAATCTCAAGGATGTAGGCAAACAAGTAGCAATATTGGAATTCAAATAAAAAAAAAATAAAATTAAAATGACAAAACAAATGCAAAAACAAGCAAGAAACTCACCACAGAAACAAGTGTAAGTTTTAGGAACTTGCGTAGAAGCATTCTGGCAAGCTGGACATCTCCAACCACTATTACCATCTGTAGGACAAAAAAATGACTTGAAGTAAATAAAAGAGCTAGTTTTCAAACCTAGAATAAGTGCTCTGACCTCGTTTCTTACCACCAACCAAACTAAGGCTTTCCATTTACTCAGAAGTAGTGAGAAAGCAGTTTAATAAAAATGCATGTTATCCCTATCGAGATAAACACAGCAGTGGTACTTCATGTGACCAGGTTCCAACTTTAGAGCCAAGAACAAATATTAAAATTGCATTTTTTTCTATTATCATGTACCCTGCTATAAAACATTCTACCAGAATATATACAGTCTTCACCATATCTAAAAAAATGAGAAAAGTATTAAATATATGGGAAAAATATAATTACCTACCGTCTTAAGTATCACCTGTATTTTCCTTTTTGTTACCATTTCACATTATGAGTTTGCATGTCTCGTAGAATACCAATTTAGTATTGCTTCATGTCCAGAATAAAATAGTGCTACATAAACCAGAATAATCTACTTAAATTAATTAAAAGGTGACAATACCTAGCTATTGACTAGGACTCTGTTCTTCAAGTTGGTATTTTATTAGATAGCAGTCTTCTTGCTCCTGTGCTTCGGGAGGGTGTTGGTTAGCAGTAAACGAAGAACTTCAGTGTAAGGAAAACAAGATTTATGAAGACGTTTCCCAAATTCAGTACATATCTGGCTATGAAAAATACCAGTGTGAGAGCACGACTGAACACAAAGCAGGGCAGGGAGTAGAGATTTTATTTTTTTTTTTAATAGATAGATATAAAAATACATAAACTGATTAACTCTGTCTCTCTTAACCAATCAATTCAGTGCTGGTAAATTAATGAAGTTGTGATTTAAGAACTGTTCTCTGTGATTCAGAAATCTGACCAAGATTTATGATATTTCCACATTCTGAACAGGAGGGACTGCACACAGGAAACTCTATGTGTGACGAGACAATGACAGGCGCATCTACGCTGGTTATCAATTGGACTGAAGACTTCTTACGTTAACCATTATAGTGCACAATGGTAAGGATTTTCACAAACTGGAAATGATCCAGATTACAGACTGCCTTGATACTCCTGAAATGAAGATCTAAAGCATGTCTATTCCTTTCATTACTTGGTGCCTATTCATACACCTCGTTATCCTGGCTCACATCACTGTGCCACAATGAGTGCTGAAGAGAGCCGTACAATTATGAGCCGAGCAGCTGTAGGACGGTGCCACAATGAATATACTCTGTTATTCATGCTCAAGACCAACCTGCATTGCCTGACCAAGTTTGTTTGGTTTTTTTGGTTTGTCAGCACCTTCTGTGGCTCCTCCCAAAGCTAGCATACTAAACCCTAAGGGATTACTTTGTACAGCATACTTAACTATTATATTAACAACATAATTTCTTTCATTGTTATTCCACGTTACGTTTTTCAAAAGCTGTGATCTCAGAAAGAAGCATCTTGGAGAGAAGTGTTAAAAGCTACAGGTAAAAACTGGCAGCAGGGGACCGGAAGGGGTATCTGCTGATGAAGCTGTCAGCACCTTATGTGGCTCCTCCCAAAGCTAGCATACTAAACCCTAAGGGATTACTTTGTACAGCATACTTAACTATTATATTAACAACATAATTTCTTTCATTGTTATTCCACGTTACGTTTTTCAAAAGCTGTGAAAGGAAGCCTATCATCAAAGCTTCAAGAGGTCAGCAGAAGGGCCTGTCGTATCACCATTTCTCCCAGAGCAGGATGCCTAGTCCTCTACAAGCAACAGCTTCTCTAGGGTATAGTGAAGGTCCTTGTGTGAAAGGCAACAGAGAAAGGTTTCAGTGCTGAAATCGGGTAAGATCTCCTGGAACTGATTATAACATTTGCCGAATCGAGAAGATTTAAAGTAAATCACATCCAGAAAATAACTGTTTTTTTCCTCTTCCAGAAAAAAACCCAATTATTGCATTAGGCAGATTACAGTGTTGTATTTCTCTTCTGGTAGACAGTAATTACTGCTAGGGTTCTGGTGAATTCCTCAACATTATACAAAGCCTGAAAATTAGAATCTACACTAAAACAACCTACCATGAAACAAAAGCACTCTGAAGTACAAGTTCTAATCAAGATAGGGTAGCAGGGCCTTGCAGGCAAAGAAATATTCAACAGGGTACTTACTAGAGCTATGGAATCAGTTCTACTGAGGCTGTCATCTTTAATATAACTTTTTTTCATTCATGATTAACTCAAGTACTCTCATACGTGAGATACAGTAAGATATTTAGTTCACAAATTCTTACAAGAAAAGCAAATGGCCAAAAGATATGGCTATTTGAAATGCTCAGTCATCAAGAATGAAGGTCCCTGTGTTGACAGATAAGCAAAACCTCCCTTATACAAGCAGATATTCTTTTCATCAAGCAATAAACTGTTTCAAGGAGATAAATCAGCTCCAAGGGTGGTGACATAAAAACAGCTAGGAGATAAATGTTCTCAGCAATCACTCTCAGTTTGGCCTAGGATCTCAGTCTTACTCAAAAATCTGTTCCCTTCTCAAACATTCCAACGCCTTTATGTTTCAAATCCTGTGCTGATCTTTGTAACTTCCTTTCTACTGTCAGTATAAAGCACGACCAGCTCTACCCAGAAGTCTGTCTATACATCTGCAGAAATCCAAGAACTTTGCAACCAATCGTTTCTGCCAGAGACTGACAGTCCGTAAAAACTCCTCTCAAACATATGGAAGTAGCTGACACTCTATTTCCTCAGTCTTCCCAGAGAGACAGAAAGACACCTGAAGAATGGTAAATGCTAAACAAGCAGAGTACAGAAAAAGTTAACCCCACTTCAAGATTAACATTGCAGTCTTCAGAGTATGTCTGCATCGCACAACCAAAAATAGCAGAGTGCCTGTGATTCAGTCTTAACTTACGTTGAAAGGTATTAGTTGTTTAGCTAAAATAGGTAGTTTTAATTGGAATAAATTACTTAGGGTTATAATATGGTGTGATTTATGCTGTTTGCCTACCTTTACTTTGCATGAGTAGTTAGATTTGCTGAAGCCTTCAGGCCGCAATAGAGTTAATTTTCTTAGCACTCTTCCTAGCAGCTGGTACTGTGCCGCATTTAGTCTTTTAGCATGACAAAAATGTTGATAACACACTGATGGTAGTGTTTTCCCCTAAGTCTGGGACTTTTCCATTCCCCATGTTCTGCCAGTGCGTGCAGGTGCATAAGAAGCATAAACCAGAAGATAAGGAGGCTACAACCATCAGCAGAGACTGCAAATCAACAAGGTAAGAGCAGCCAACAGCCTGCCTGCCTGGACACGGAAAGAGAATCCAGCAAGGTGGATTCCAACAAGATGATTCAAGGACTGGAGCATCTCCCTTATGAGGAGAGGCTGAGAGAGCTGGGACTCTTTAGTCTGGAGAAGAGAAGGCTGAGGGGAGCCCTTATCAATGCCTACAAGTATCTCAAGGGCGGGCTGAGGGAGGAGGGAACCAGACTCTTTTCAGTAGTTGCCAGTGAGAGGACAAGGGGCAATGGGCACAAGTTGGAACATAAAGGGTTCCACTTGAATATGAGGAAGAACTTTTTCACGGTGAGGGTGATGGAGCCCTGGAACAGGCTGCCCAGGGAGGGTGTGGAGTCCCCTTCTTTGGAGATTTTCAAGACCCGCCTGGATGCTCCTGAGTAACATGCTCTGACAAGCTCTGGGTGGTCCTGCTTCGGCAGGGCACTTGGACTAGATGATCTCTATGGTCCCTTCCAACTCTAAAAATTCAGTGAAATTCAGTGAAAGGTGTTACAAGACCCCAGACCAAATGGACTAAAAGACACATGAGCAGCATGTGAGAGCGCAGGGGGGGGAGGCATATAGAACAAGGGTATCCCTGCCCAAGGATTTCTTTGTTCGTCGCCCCTCCCTGGAGGCACCCAGCTGACTGACCTTGCTGCTCTAACTCCCACGCCTGAGACTCTGCTGGGGGAAACCTGGAGCTGAGTGTGAGGAAGGAACACCCAAGAGTGAAGGCGTGAGGTGTGTGGTGTCCAAAGGGGCACCCTTGGCTCACTGGAGTCACCCGCTGGCACTCTGGTAGCAGCTTCTCCTTTAACACTTACACCAAAGCATTCAAAAGGCAGAATGTAGTGGAATAAACATTTCAAAAAGTGGTATAATACAAAAAAATATTAAACAGTTTAATGATAAAGGAATGAGCTTTCTGTCTTCTCTGCATTTCATTTTACTGCGTGGCATTGGTGACAGATTTCAGGAGCACTTTATCTGAGAACAGAACTAAGAAGTGGTTGAGTAAAAACACGCAACTACCGCTTGGAGTACTGCTTCTGTTTGACTGCTCAGCTGAGCACACACGAGAGAAGATGAGACACTTCTTGGTGTGTAAAAACCACAGCCACAGAGCTTTGCATCTTGATGCACTGATTTCATTTTTATACTTATGTATCCAAACATGGAAAATAGACTTAGGTGGACAACTAGAAAGAATCAAAACAGTAAGGAGGATCACACAAAGCATCCAAAGAACCCTCTAAAAAAAAAATTATTTAAAACTTGCTTTGTTAGTCTTCCGACAAAAGAAACACATGAACTTTGCTATTATATATGTGAGAGAGAAAACACGTGCAAGAGAGAATACCAACCTTCAGCTTGTGAAGCTGGTGATCGTGCCCACTTCTTAATGCAGTTGAGGTGGAAGACATGGTAACAGTTCTGACAGCTCCACACTGGGGCTACGATTCGGACCACCTCACAGCACACCATGCATTCATACTTCTCTGTGGTCAGCTGTTCAATCAACGACCCTGCAAATGAAATATATTACGTGTACATTAAACATCACCTAGCTGAGAAACAAAATCGAAATGAAATGCCAAGATTTCATTTAAATTGTAAGAGAATTTATTTTGGTTTACTCCTGGAAGATTCCAGGATGCATTTGTTTAGTTTCAGAGCAAGAAGAGGGAATATGAGATAGCCATAAAAGTGGCAACAATAATTCCTGTTGATGAAGAGCAATCATTTTCATTTTACAAATTAGTGAAAAGTTTTAAGCTTGGCAGAAGTCTGAGGTTATACTCATCACTTTATATGGGAAGTTTACCTTCACATAAAGTTTAAACCAAAAATCTTAAAGCTCTAAGTTGCAGCCAAAAATTAAATTCAATTCCCATCCTCAAGTGTTCTTGTAAAACCACATAACAAATATTAACAGTGAAGTACCTGGATTACAGAAATAAGCCCTTCAAACGGACTGCTTTAGGTGTGGAATTACCGGGAAACAATAGTTAAAGTACAGTGCCTTTTGAGCCATGTGAAAGAACTTGAAAAAGAGCTTTGAAAGTAAATCAAGAACTTCACATGAAAGACAAAAACAGTCTGAAAACACAGTTAGATCTGCAACCATAAAAAAGGTACCACATAACTTCAGTTCTGCCAGATCAACTCTCCCATCAAGGTAGAGCTAACAAATACACCTTAGAAATGTTATTTGCTCAATCCCACAGAATTTTAAAATATCTTAATTACAAGTGTAAACTGTAAAAAAGTATAATTTTAAGATGGTTTCAATACAAGTGAAGGACATAATGAAGGAAAAAATATTAATTAAAAAAACCCCTACTATCAACTCAAAATGTGCTTGTACCACACGACTGATAGCAAGCCCATAGATGCCTGTAAACTCAGAAGTGTTAACAGTGCCTTCCTGAGTAGGATATAAGCACTTTCAAGCTTCTTTTCCAGCTCTCCTTCATCAAGCACCAGAAGCTTTAGAATTAAGAGTCATTTCTGCTTGAATGCCATAAATGTTACCTGCTGCAAAGAAAGCATCCCCACCTAAAACATACTTCTTTTCTCCAGAAGACTAAAGTGGCATCATACTCAAAAAGGATAGCTGTCCCATAAAAAAAGCACAGACTCAGTCCCCTGAAATAGTGATAGACACCATCTCCAAAATACCTCCCAACTAAAGCATGCAAAAAAAGACTGCCATTTTGGAAGGGGAAGTTCCTTAAGTGCCCTGTAAAAGACCACTACTTCTCTTCCTGCTTATTGCACGCTTTTAATTTAATAATAATGCTGGGAGAAAGACTGAACTTTAACATTATGATCTGAGTAGAACCCAGGAATGTGAAAGTTAATGTATTTAAGTTAGAAAGGATCAAGGAGGATCTTGATCCTTGACCTTCTCCTAAGGGAACAAAGGTTCAGACTGGAGCCCTTATACTTCCCAATTACGCTGCTACCTTCTCAGCTCTGAAAGAGAAGAGACCCTGAGAAGAAAAATCTTCAAAAGATTCAATACCACAGTTTACAGGAATTAATCTACCTGTCTCTATGATTTTGGGCAGCAGGAGATCAGGTTGAGACGTTTTGTAAAAACCAACTAAATATAATTCTTAGTGTTTGCGTAACTGGAAAGGGACACATACACACACACCAAAAAAAAAAAAAAAAGAAAAAGAAAAATCTTTCTATTGCTATAAATGTCTTGTGAAATTTTATCTTGGAGGGATGCAATGAAAAAGGCAATAATTTTCTTTTGAGGAAGACCATGTTTTAGAACTTTGAATTCAGATTTGATCCTTCTGTGATCCTTGCGAGTTCCCACTCGCAGCATCAAGAGGGGGACATCACATACACACACACCAAAAAAAAAAAAAAAGAAAAAAGAAAAATCTCCCTCCTTATGGCCTCCAAAAGAAAACAGGACTTCTTCTGCGTGGTGCTATGAATAATATGAGACTATTTTATCACTGTCTAAAACTGTAGAAAAAGCTACCTAGGTTATCTTAAAACAGAAACCAGTACTGTGGCATTGAAGAGATTCAGATAATTTCCATTTAAAGTTTTAAGGCCTTAACGGTATGAGTTGGCACAAAATTCACTCAGACAGTCAAAACCTGTGTGTCTGCTTTACACTGTCAATGGCATGTGTTTCTTTTCTCAACTTCCAAAAATAGTACCCAAAGACTTTCTGGTTCTAACTACCTTTTGGTACTGCCATTGCAAAAGCGAGAAAAAAAATATCCAGTTAGGAGCAGAATACAGTTCCTGTATCTGGCACTTTCCTACTTCTACATAAAACGTTAGAAAACTTATTCTGCAAACATCAGTTTTAGGATTGTCCCTTTCAAGTCCCCTTGTTCCAAATGCTCAGAATTTCACTCCTCACTCCTGCAACATACATGTTTTAACATGGTCCCTGACCAGGCCGTCATTTGCACTTTGCTAGTAGAACCAAAAAAACTTCAAACAGAATCTGTTCTTCCCTAGTAAGCTTACAGAACATGCCCCCACTCAGAAACCACACTTTTAATTCTACCCTCTGAAACTGACTAAAATAATAAGTCTCTTCATCTATGCAAATGTGAAGGCAGCTTAAATTATTCAAGATCATATCTTTAATACAGGACAGCCAGGAAAGCTTACCTGTGTGAGTTTCTTTGTTTTTCGGTACATCAATTTGCTTTTTCCAGTACTGGGTCCAGCTGAAATGAAGTGCAGGTGCCTGATCTCCCTTTAGCAGGAATTTTCTTCCATTACACTTGACAGAATCAGACAATTGATGCCTGATTTCACTGGTCAAGTTTTCATCATTTTTGTGAACAGAGAATTCTTTCTTCCTCTCATTTTTATCTTTTGGAGTATATGCAAGAGAAGACTTCTTACCTACTTTTGTATTTTTACTACGATGAGAATCATGTCTTTTCTGACACTCCTTTTCTACCGGGGGTTTATTCCACACAGGCTTCCGGGGATATCTTTTGTTTACATAATTGAAGGCTTTCTGCTCATCCCCACTAGCAACAGGGGCATCACAGAAGGCCTTTCCAACAGATGATTCTGAGGAGTCAGACTGAGTCAAATCCAAAGACGGAACATTTTCAAACAGCTCTGCTTTCTGCTTAGAGCTCACTCGCTTTTCCCGGTCATGGACTTGCTTGCCCTTCTCCCTGAAACCTCTTCCAGAGGCGTGCATCAGATGTGTTTTCTTTGGCTTTGCTCCTCTGCTATCTGCGCTGGGTACCTCCCTGTCACTCTCCGAGGAGAAGAAGTCATTGCATCCCCTAGGAGGTGCTCTTCTCCCGGGTCCTACTGCAGCATCCGAAATTCCTGGCCCTGCAGCAGCATCAGCAGTACTTTGCCTTACCTTGCTTCTAGTACACGTGCTATCATTTCTTGACCTGTGCCATCTCTGGCTTTGCAAGTTGCGATTCTTCAAACTTTTACTGTTTCCAAAATACTGGTGGAAGTCTTCAGAATTCCCACACTGACGTTCTGGATTACAAAAGCCATGATGCTTTGTGGAAGAGTTTTCGTAATCTGTACCTCTTTCAGAAGACAGACTAGGAAATGGTAAATTACTTCTATTCTGATGACTGTTAGAGTCTTTCCTATCTTTGTTTGCCCAGTTTATATCTGTAGATTGTCCTCCTGGAATGGAATCAGCAGCATCAGGATTGAAATTCAGTGCACCTAAAAAGTGAAAAAATAAACACATGTGTATAAGACTATTAAGTAGTAAACATTTCTTTTCAGCAAAACTACCATACATGCAAAGGCCTGGAAGTTCAATCAATACCAGACTTAACAGAACAACTGCAAACAAGTTTCCAGAAACCAGAGTTGAATCACATAGTGCTTTGTGGAAGCTACTTTCTCTTCTCATCTTAGAGAAAGACTCAGACGTAAGACAAGAATATAAAACCATTTGAAGTAGCACTGTACATACACAAGACATGCAAGTGTGATAATCAGTGTTTAACATATGCTGAAATTTTTCCTCTGCACATATGGAGGTGTGCACATCTGCATCTCCATCCCATGGAGGTAGCACCCATGCTACAGGTTAGGTAGGTTACCTCTGACAGCAGAGCAGGTGCAGTTTATTCCAGTTCATGACAATTCAAAGAAAAAAATCAAGCACTATCGACACAAGAGACTCTCCAAAAGGCCAATGCTATCTGGGTCTCTCACCTATCTATTATATTAACTTTTCAATAAAGATTGTGGAAATTAACATTTTGACAGGAAGAATAAACCAGAACACTTCAAAATGTTAATACATTTTTCTCAGTGAATTTAATTTACTTTCAAACGGAAGAGGTTTTTAAACCTCTAGGAAAGGTCGTAACCAATATGAAGAATTTGGTGGCCAATGTCTCACTACCCTCACAGCACAGAATTTCTTCCTAATATCTAATCTAAATCTACCCTCTTTCAGTTTAAAACTGCCACCCCTCGCCCTGTCACCACACGCCCTTGTAAAAAGTCCCTCCCCATCTTTTCTGTAGGTCCCCTTTAGCTACTGGAAGGGGCTCTAACATCTCCCCGGAGCCTTCTCTTCTCCAAGATGAACAACCCCAGCTCCCAGCCTGTCCTCACAGCAGAGGTGCTCCCTCCTCTGATCATCTTCGTGGCCCTCCGCTGGACCCGTTCCAACAGGTCCATGTCCTTCCTGTGCTGAGGACTCCAGAGCTGGACACAGAGCTCCAGGTGGGTCTCACCAGAGCAGAGGGGCAGAATCACCTCCTGTGACCTGCTGGTCACACTTCTCTTGATGCAGCCCAGGATGGGGTTGGATTTCTAGGCTGCCAGAGTGCATTGCCAGCTCACTGTATTCCATCATTACTACTGCAGACCCTAGTAGGTACAAAATATTACGCTTCTACATCTGAAAGAATCTGGACTGCAAGCAGCTTCCCTGGAAACATTCTATTTTTCTCTATTTTTCTCATCTTAGCACATGTATCCTATGTAAAGAACTCAAAATGTAAAGTAGTCTTTGTTGCCAGTTTCTTTTCTACCACTAATAAAAAGGACTACAAACATAAATTTTATTCCTTTGATATTATAAAGTAAACAGCAGTCATTCAGTACAGATTACTTAAAATAGAGTTTCACATATTTTGATTTGAAGACAGGATGCAATCCTAGAAATACATAAAAATCTTATTTGAAACAAACTATATTATTATTTGGTTTAAGATTTCTTTTGTATATCCTAAAATTTAAAGTCTGATGGATAGATAGAACAAGGTAAATCAAGTGGCTTCTTAATGTTTAATAAAAACATGTTTTTCAAAAATCACAGGGCTTGCACCCAAAAAATGTATTCTGTTATTAAAGACCGTCGTTTCTTCGGTTATGAGATGCAGTAAGTAAAATTTATGCATGAATTATAAACAAATTTCTGCACAGGGCTTTCAAATGAATGCAATAAATAACTTAAGTATGTTTTGTAGATCAGTAAAAAATACTATTTTATACTGACATAAAAACATGCTAGACATGGCGAATGCAATAAATAACTTGAGTAAGTATGTTTTGTAGATCAGTAAAACATACTATCTTATACTGACATAAAAACATGCTAGACATGGCTTTAAAATGCAAAGTTTCTTAGAAACAGTCAAATTGACTTTTAAGGAGGGTGTCGAAGAAGCATAATCAGGACTTGCAATGTAGCTATGGAAGTGATATTTTTGAAAGCACATTCCAAATAATGTATTAAGTTTGGAGAAACAGATGGGAAACTAGGATTCAGATATTTAAAAGCACTTCCAAAATATGAATAATTCATTAGGAATTTTTATATCACCCATGAATAGGATTCCTATTCTTACTGTCAGCTTTTATATTACAAAGAAAACCCAAAAGAAGTGGTAAATTCTGCTCAAAACTGATTTCCATTTGCCAAGATAAGAAACAGCAAAATGCATATACAAGAGTAACAATCAGCAGCTAACTCTGGCTTAAATTTTCTCTGACATGTTTACACGTATATGCTCAAAAATCCCAAGAAAAGGGGAACCTCCAAAGCTAGATTCCAGCTTGTATTTCTACATAATAAACAAAGAAAATCACAGTACCTTTAATATCCCTACAAGCTTGAGCATGACTTAAAACCAAGCCTGTGAAACTCATATGGCCTATTCTGCCATAACATTACACATTACACCTCTTCAGCATTAACTGCCGACAGAGCCAGAACACCCTGGCAAAGGTGGGTCATCTGCGTGAACTATCCTTCAGAAAAATAATTTGACAAGGACACTTTTAAAAATACGAAACAAATTACTAAGTACATTTCTCATTTCACTAAGTACAAGCTCTGCTTCAAAACCAGCTTATTTCAGGGACCAGTACAGCCATCAAACTTAATAACTTCGGTAGTTTTTTTCATGAAGACGTCAATAATGACATTTGAAGGTGCCACTTAAAGACATTATGCCTAAATGACATTTCTTAGCACGGTTTCAGCAAGCTAAATTCAACTGGATATTTAACAGCCGTTAAACAATGTACTTTAATTAGGAGAGGCTGTATGAAAGAGATAATTAAGAATAAATATAAGGAAAAAAAAAAACATATTGAATAAGTCCAGCCAGAAAAAAATATAATGGGTACAAGAGTCCACAGGGTAGCCCCTCAGATGTCAGAGGTACTAATTCTTTATTCTTAAATGAATTCAGCTCTGTCTCCTAGGTAGGGAAAACTCTGATTTTCCTTCTGAAGCTTCAGATCGATACAAAATTGGAACTAAATAAACAACAAAGATTAGTATCAGTCCTTCTGACTGGACAAGCACTTATTTTTTAATTGACAACTACTTATTGAGATACTCATAAATTCAACCAAAACTAGTGTCACCTTGAGTACTGTGTGCAGTTGTGGGCTCCACAATACAAGAAGGGTATAAAAGTATTAGAATGTGTCCAAAGGAGGGCAACAAAGATGGTGGAAGGACTAGGGGACATGGCTTAAGATGAGCAGCTGAGGATTCTAGCTTTGTTCAGCTTGGAAACAAGGAGACTGAGGGGTGACCTCACTGCTCTCCATAGCTTCCTCATGAGGGGCAGTGGAGAGGGAGATGTCCATCTCTTCTCCCTGGGATCCAGTGAGAGAATGCCAGCAAACGGCTTAAAGCTGCACCAAGGGATGTTCAGACTGGGTAGTACTAGGAAAAAGTTCTTCAGTGAAAGGATGGTCAAGCAATGGAAAAGGCTTCTCAGGAAAGAGGTCATGGCCTGAAGACATTCAAGAAGAAGTGTCTGGATAATGCTCTTAGATACCTGGTGTAACTTTTAGGTTGCCCTTTGTGGATTCAGGAGTTGGACTCAAAGACCCTTGTGAGTCTCTCTCAATGCAGGATATTCTATGATTATATGTTCAGTTTACATTCTGGCTCCCAGTAGAAGACAAAGGGATGTCTTCAGTTATAAAGCAGTTCAAATAACCTATTATTTCACCTAAAGACCGATGACAGTACAGAGTGCAAACACAACAATCTCTTTGTGTCAGCACCACATATATTCAGACAAGAAATGGTCCAGTCAGCTGAACACACAGCACAAGTTACAGAGAAGACACCCCCTGCAGGTCTTATGGTACCCATATCACACTGTAATACAAAAAAAACCAACCCACCAACCCAAAGCAAACAAACAAAAAAAAACCCAGCAAAACTCAGAAATGCTGCATTATGGAAATCTGAGGCTTTCCCCACGTCATTGGAGGCTTTATACCTCTTCCTCACAGAACACCAAGCTTGATCTTTTCTGTCTTCTCCGATCATTTTATATATTCACATACAGCATCCTATGATTTCCAGAGATGATGCAAATTTAGAAAAGGTTGGGCTTCTTACTAAACAGGAGTTACACTATTTCAGGCTTAAAGACTCAAGCTGTGCAAAACAATCTGCCCGCCCAAAATTTATTCTTTATTCCAACTGTAACAGCTCATCTAAATAAAAGATACGCTCCCTTCCCACAACTCTTGTCAGAAATTATTAGAGAAAGATTAACATGCAAAACCATCATTATCATAGAATCACAGAATGGCTGAGTTTAGAGGGGACCTTTTGAGATTACTTAGTCCAAATACCCTGCTCAAACAAGGTCAGCTACACCAAGTTGCCCACTACTGTGTCCAGCTAGGTTTTGAATTTTGTCTAAGGACAGAGAGGCTACAACATCTCTGAACAACCTCTTCCAGCATACAACCATCCTCACAGTAAAAAGGCTTTTTCTTGTGTTCAGATGGAATTTCATGTGATTTAATTTGTACCTGTTGCCTTTTGTCCTTTCACATAATATCACTGAGAAGAATCTGGCTCCATATTCTTTACTCCCTTCCATTTGGTATTTGTACACAGACCTAAGATCACTCTGAGATTTCTCCAGACTGAACAGTTCCAGCTCTCTCAGCCTCTCCTCATACAAGGGATGCTCCAATCTCTTAATCATCTTCATGGTCCTTTGCTAGACTCATTCCAGGGGAACCTAGAACTGGACACAGTGCTCCATAGGTGACCCCACCAGTGCTGAGCAGAGGGCAAGCTGCAGCTCCCTTGACAAGCTGGGAACACTCTTCCTAACGTAGTCTAGGACTACTGTTGGCCTTCCTTGCAAAGAGGGTGCATTGCTGACTCATGGTCTGCTTATGGTCCACCAAG